CTTCAGTCGTAACAAATGTTGGTCCTTTGTATATCTGATTTTGGAAACAACCAGTTGTGATGAATGAGATAGAAGATGATGCTGATTACAGATGGTTTTATTTTAAAATTTGGCAGTAATAAAAATTAAGACAGTGTTGAAAGGACAAATACTGTGTAACATCCCCTTATATGAATCCTTAGAATAGTCCAATTCATAGAGACTGATGTAGAATGGTTATTGCCAGGGGCTAGGCCAGGGAGGATGGGAGTGACTGCTTAATGAATACAGAATTTTGGTTTTGGAAGGTGAAAAGAATTTTGAAGATGGTTTGTGTTGATGGTTATAGACAATGTGAAAGTACTTTATACCACTGAACTATACATTTGAAAATAATAAAGATGGTAAATTTTTATGCTGCGTATATTTTACCACAATTTTAAAATTTTTGAAATTATAACGAACAAGTATTTTTTTGTAGAATGGTTCTGAAAACAGTTACAGAATAGATGTTACCAAAAACGTCTGGAGCAAAGGAGATACGGCCACATAACTGTGTAACCTCCTGAGGTGACTATAGAAAAAAAGCTCATTGGTTGTGTAAATTAGAGTACTTTTGTATGTACATTTTAGTCTTGTTTCTGCAGAGTTGTGGCTTATCTATTAAATACTTTCTAGGGAATCTTATCATTAGAGCTAAAGTCTCCACGGTGGTCTTGCAAGAGCAATAAATGAGTCCAATTTGTTTCTCCCAGAAGTTGAGGAAATTACCCAGAATTGCTCACCTAGTCTGTGACAAGATCTGGTCTTTCGGTTCTGTTGGTGCTTGATTCCTAGCACAGCACTGAGTGAGTCACAGTGCTGAGAGGCCCAGCAACTCCCCCCATCCACACAGGTACCTCGCTGAATGGATGGTGCATGGCTATCCCTCAGAAAACGTCTGGGAACTGGACTTGAAGCGTTTTGGAGCCCTCCAGAGCAGCCGCACCTTTCTGCGCCACCGGGTCATGGAAGTCATGCGTAAGTGAAGCTTTGTCCCTGCCGCACCTCACTGCAGGCCTATTCTGTCATCCACAGGACCAAATGCTGCCTCGGTTCTTTAGTAATTGCTTTAAGTTGGGCTTCTGATGTTTAGTGGTTTCAGGCCAGTGTTGTGGGCATTATGCCCACATGGTTGATATGGAACATTTCTTTAGTGTATTGTACCTTATTTACCTTGTGGACCAGGAAAGAGGAGCTGGACATACAGGTGGCAGTTACTGCCATGTCCTTGCTGCAGCTTGTATATGCCCACCTTTGCCTCCCATCTGCTGTGCTGTGTCAGAGTGAATGCTCTCACTCCCTACTTGGTGTTTGGGATCATGTTCCTTTCCAAGGAGAACTGGAATTTGCCAAGTTAGTCTCAAAGCTTCAGGATTCTTCAAGTGACTTCCGTCATTGACCCGTCATATGCTAGCAAGATAGGAAACTGCTTCGCATGTAAATACAAATCATCCCTACTCTCTTTCTCCTTGTTTTTGCTTCCCTCTGACTTTGAAGGACTGGATTCCTTTAACTTCTTAGTCTATCTTGTCTTGGCTTTATTTTCTAATGAGCCCTCAAGAATTGAACCAAATGAGATTTTGATTTCATTTTCCTGTACTGAAGAACTATTCTCAGACTTGCCAAAACATATCTAAATATTTTGGGCATATTTATGCTCAGGACAAGTTTCTACATTGGCGGTGACCACCATTCTTGTTTAAGGATGGACTTGGTTTAGTAGCTGGAAGTTCCATTCGCAGTGAGGACTCTGGATGACCTTTCACACCTGTGTGCTCACTTTTGGCCTCTAGCAGAGAATTCACATTCATGGCAGTTAAAGGACCTGGTAGCAATATGTGTAATTGCTATGGTTCCTTATTTTTAGCAAATATTTTGGTTACAGTGTTGAACTATTACAAGTCTAGGTTTCTCCATCTGTAGTTACTTTGGAACCTGTGCAAATAGCAACTGAGCTTGAGCTTCTTCTTGATGATGTGGCACTTTTGGTGGCCTCCTCAGATTCTCAAAATATGGAAGTTGCAGGCATGGTAGAAAATGAGGAAGGGGAGAATAGAACCTGAAGCCTCAGAGTGGGGTGTGACAGTACAAGGACTCCAACATGCCTGCCTTCGTCTCCCGGCCTCGCCCCACACAAACATGCCTCTTGTTTGGCATGGTGTGAAGTCAGGTCTTCTCTCTGGAAAGGACTAGAGATCATAGTCTTTCTGGATATTTTCACTTATTGCTATTGCAGATTGGACAGTAGGAGAAAGGAATTCTGACCCTAGCTTTATGTGAATAATGTCACTGGGACAGTACTGCATAACCTGTCAGATTTCAGAGCCACCACGTCAAGGTAGGCTGTGTGCCCTTTCACTTCAGAAATGGTTAATTAGGAAACATGTGTAACAGGTCTGAGGCTCCAACCACACAGGCACTGGAAGGAATCAAGTGCCATTTTTTCACATTTTGTAACAACCTGTGTCCCACGTAGATATATAACCTTCATCTCTGCTGGGAGCTCAGCAAGGTTTAGAACCATGACATTTCTCCCACTGTTTCTGCCTACTAATTTGGAGCAGTAATTATGAACCAAGACCTAGGGTCGTTAATGACTCACAGCTGTATAACTCTGTGGAGGAGCAATGCCAGCTCTTGCAGTGTGATCCTTTCTTCTAGAACATGCCTACTTTACTTGGTACTGTTTGGCAAATTAGGCCACAGCAGCCTGGAAAGCATGCTGTTTTGAATAGGAGCAGAGTCTTGTGGATATTGGTTGCTCAGCTCTGTGCTTTCAGACTGCTCTTATCTTCTAGCTCTGCTGTATGACCTGAAGGTTCCCCGTTGGGACTTCCAGACCGGGAGGCAGCTACGCACGTCTCCTCTCTATGACCGGCTGGATGCACAAGGAGCCAGGTGGATGGAGAAACATGGATTTGAGAGGCCAAAGTACTTTGTGCCACCAGACAAGGGTAAGAAGGCACATTCTCATTTTTGTTTTGTTTTGGTCCTGAGAATAATAAAACTTGTTCTTAAATGTATATAGGTAGACTGTGTTCCTGGGAGAATAAATAATAAAAACCTACTATATTGTACTATTCAAGGATACACCCCAGTATAAATCCCCTCCTTTTCTGTCTTCGTTTTTTCTGTCCTGCAGACCTCCTGGCGTTGGAGCAGAGCAAGACTTTCTATAAGCCAGACTGGTTTGACATTGTGGAATCTGAAGTCAAGTGTTGTAAGGAGGCCGTGTGTGTCATTGACATGTCCTCTTTCACAAAATTTGAAATAACAGTAAGTATTTGGTTATACTGTATAGCACAGGGAAGATCTTGTGGTAGCTCACAGTGAAAAAAAATGTGACAATGAATATATGTATGTTCATGTATAACTGAAAAATTGTGCTCTACACTGGAATTTGACACAATATTGTAAAATGATGATAACTCAATTAAAAAAAAAGTTAAAAAAAAAGTATTTGGGAACCAAGACAACAGATTTGGAAATTGCGTATTTATTGAATGCCTCTCGTTTTTCATCCATCTCTTCAAAACTGATTCTGTAAGAACTCTTGTATATTTTAGTGTTTCACCTTCATTATAACATTTTTCCAAATTTTTAGCTTTGTTTCTGGGGTTTTTATCTGCTTGCAGAGGCCCATTTATCATTAGAATAGCTAGCTTTCTCTAGAGCTTCTTGAAGCAGAGTAAATCTGCAAATATTATTGTACCAGCTAATCGCATTTTCTCAGCAAATGGCCTTACGCAGTGGTCAGGCTGAGTTACGGAGCCAGAGGTTCTTATATTCGTTCTCCCTGCTTCATTTCCTAACCCTGCAGTCCACTGGGGATCAGGCACTGGAAGTCCTACAGTACCTCTTCTCCAATGACCTGGACGTGCCCGTGGGCCATATCGTGCATACGGGCATGCTCAACCAGGGCGGCGGGTACGAGAACGACTGCAGCATAGCTCGACTGAGCAAGCGCAGGTGAGCCGCACGCGCTGCTCCCTCTACGCAGTGCTCCCTCCGCACTCCACCCTCACAGCTGGGGCAGCGCCAGCACTCTGCGAGTTTCCAGGAAACTAATTACACTGAAGGGAAAAAAAAATGCCATTAACTCATGGCCAGTTCATCAGTAGCCCAGCATACTCAAAATCACGAGAAGAAAAAAAAGAAACCCACCAGATTATGTAAAACTCAGTGTGGAAAAACTAGTTACCCTCCTGGGGGAAGATGCCTTATCTCACATAGATCTGTAGAATTTCTTGGGACTAACAGGAAGCTAGAATCTTCTGTTTTATTATTATGTGATACATCCTCAAAGTATATGCTGTTGACCTTCCCTAAAAGCTAAGAGATCCTTTGCCAGGATTCTACTCATTGCCCTGAAACTAGCTGAGAACTTAGTGCTTCCTGATCATTTTTCTGCTGCCTGGTTTTGATTACTTTTGGGTCTCACTTTCAGTTTCTTCATGATTTCTCCAACTGACCAGCAGGTCCACTGTTGGGCCTGGCTTAAGAAATACATGCCGGAAGACAGCAACCTGATTCTGGAGGACGTCACCTGGAAATATACCGGTAAGGCGGCCCTCTGGGGTCAGCTAGCGAGAAAAGGCCAGCTGGTCCAAGTTGACCCAGATTTATCTTCTCCATTTGCCTTCTTTATATCTGACATTCAAAAATGAGTGTTAGAAGCCTGGGAGAGGCTTCTGGTGATAGAATTGATCTCTGATGCTTCCCCACGTTTTTATAAGTGAGGTGTGGAATGAGTTAGTGCTTCAGTTTGTGGTTTATTCACTGCTGTCCCCTACAGCATGTAGGAGTGCAGATACTTGTTGAATGAATAACTCACTTTTAAAGTATTTTTATATTACCTGCATATTATTTTCTTCAAAATTTCCCCTTAGTTTTTTCTTTAATGAGTAAATAATTTTTAAGGATAACTTTAATTTCCTCATTCTCTCTTCCTAAGCAGTCCTAGCAGGGAGCAGCCCCTCCTCTTCTGCCATCCCATTCCAGGTTTAACCCTCCCTCCTCCCACTAATCAGACTCCTTCCCCTCACCTCCACCAGGCCCTCAGCCTAATTCATCATGGTAGCAAATATAATTACCTTCTTGCTACCAGATTGGAAGACTATAGACACTTATTGAAACAAGGCTTGTTTTTTAGTTCATTTGAGAGTGGTTGATGTGTAATTGGCCCAGCTGCTCTCCCAGATGTGACAATCCAGGCTGGGTAGGCAGCTCTCAGGGCTCTCCTGGTACTGGTTTGGGTTTGGGGCTTTTTCCATCATACAGGCACACTGGGAAGGGAGGGGAACGGGCTTTGTGCAGGAGGTTTACGGCCAGCTCTGGCCTCATGATCCCAACGTAGCTGCATAGGAGGCTGTGGAGTTTTGTCTTCCTGTGTCCCCAGGAAGAGGAAACACACTAGCTAGGCTCTTATGCCAGCAGTCAGTAGCTACATGTAGCCTGTCTGAAGTGTATTTCCCAGAATCAGGGTCCATCCTAGGACTGCCTAAGCAAAGGGACACTTTCATGGTCTTGCCACCCAGACCTGGCCATAGGTGAGCAAGTCCAGAGCAGACCTTTCCCACTGGTTCAGCTGTTCACTTAGAGCAGTCAGACATCTCTTGTTCTTTTCTATTTAGCCCTCAATCTGATTGGTCCGCGAGCTGTGGATGTGCTATCCGAGTTGTCCTATGCACCTATGACTCCAGACCACTTCCCAAGTCTGTTTTGCAAGGTGGGTACTCGTAAAGTTCTAGTGTTTAAATGGGCAGGGAATATTTCTTTTACAGAGATGGCAATTACATGTTCTGACTATAGCATTAACACCCACAAAGCGTGTTCTGACTTTTATTAAGCAAACAAAATGACTGAATAAATCCATTTCTTTATTTTTCAATCTTTATGGTCTCCTTACTTAACAAACATTAAGATATCTTAATGGGAGAGGGTATAGCTCAGTGGTAGAGAGTATGCTTAGAGTACATGAGTTCAAGGGTTCAATCCCCAGTACCTCCATTAAAAATAAATAAACCTGATTACCTCCCCCCAGCAAAAAAAACCTTTTTTTAAAAAAGGTATCTTTGAAGTGGACTTAACTTCTCTGAATATCAATTCTATATTTATTGCTTTCTATAGCAGTGGTTTAAATTTTTAAGTTACAGTATTAGGACACTGATGCCAAAAAATGCCAGTCAAGGTCCAGTCCCTTCTCTCCATGCAGTGTCTCTTCTTTTCCACACAGAGTAACTTCTGAGTATGTGGCATCTTGAGTTTAGAAATGGTTTGGTTGAATCCCTAAACAGTTTACATATTTTTCTTTCTTGTACTTGGCAAGTAAATCTCAGTGAAACAAATTGAAAAGAAGAAATGATAACTGAATACTCTCAAGGAAGTGGCTGATTAGAGAGGTCCAAGCAGACAGATGTTTTGGCAACCTGTAACAAGCAGCTTCGGGATGGTAACCAATGGGAGGCTCTTTGAAGTTCAAGCCGAAGTTGGGATCCACCTCCTAAGCGACTTTACAGCTTTCCTTTTTCTCCATGGCACAGTGAAGGCAACAGAAAACTCTTAGAGCTGACAGCAGACCCTGTCACAGCACTTTCTTTGCTGCTTGAAGAAGTGACCCACACACGTGCCTAGAACAATACCACGCTGTGTCGGCTCCCCATGGAAATAGTTTGCTTAAGGGCCTTCTGGGACTTACCACTTCCCATTATAGGAGCAGTGATTGAGTCAGAGGCCCCTGTTCAATAACTGAGCTGCTGGAAACAAGTTTGAACATTAGAAGCCCAGTCTCTGCCCCTAGGTTAGCAGGTGAACTGTGTTGCGTGACATCAGGCATCATCTTCTGTGGGGCAGGCACCCAGTGACTTGTCTGCCAAGTCCACCAGAGAAGATATTTGCCTGGTCTTCACTGCTTCCAGTGCCCCTGACTAAAAGAAATCTTTAGCAGGACTTTGTAAAAAGAACTATTTTGTGCTTGTGACAGACTTTGCCTCCACTTCCCACCAGCAGCTTGGCTGGCACTCCTGAACTGGGGCTGTTCATAAGAAGAGAAGAGACATTGGAAGGGCTGTGCTCCATTTCTGATGACCCCAACACCCAACATTTCTGATGAAACAGACTGACTTGAAGTTCTTTCATTCACATCTATTTCCTTTAGGGTGAAACAGAGTGCAGAGCTAATGAGAGGGGTTTACCTCAGGCATTCATTCCTCTAACATATGTGGAGGGGCCCACCTCCCCTGAGGAGTTTCCACAATGACCTTCTCCCTTTGTTTCCACAGGAGATGAGCGTGGGCTATGCAAATGGGATCCGGGTGATGAGCATGACTCACACAGGAGAGCCAGGATTTATGCTTTATATCCCCATAGAGGTGAGAACCACGGGAGGAAGGGTCCTGGCAGGGGTACAGCGCCATGTCTGGCTGGGCCTTGGTCATTGAGGTAGGGTGCATTAAAGAGATTGTAACATTTTTAGCTAAGCTTTTGTATAGGTAATACATTTACAAGGTTTAAAAATAAAAATCTATAAGCAAGTATTCAGTGCCACCTGACCAGTTCCCACCAACCACCACCAGTGGTATAATTGTTAGTTTATGTCATGTCAGAGATTTTTGTGCATATGGAAGCAAGTTCATACTCTTAACCCCCTTTTTAGAAACACAAATGGAAGCCTACTGCTGTTCTTCATCTTGACTTTTTTTACTCAGCAGTTTATCTTAGAGATCTTTCCCTGCCCATACCTAAAAAGAAAGAGCTTCCTTTTTCTTTTTTTCTGTATTTTTTAATGAACGTGATATATAGCATTCCATTATATAGTTGAATCATATTTTACCAGTGCAGTACTGGCAGATATGTATGGTGTTTCTAGTTCTTTGCTATTATAAAAAATTCTGCAGGGTACAAGAATGTCTTTCCTTATTGCTGTACAAACTACATAGAGTTGTCAAACTTTGGGCTGATGGGTGCAAAATAGTTGGGCAGTGCAATTTTAATTTCCCTGATGAGTGAGATCAGCTACTCTTCAAAAGTCATCTCACTCCCAGTAAAAGCCCGTCTGCAGGGCCCACACATGTCTGCCCACACCTCACCGTCTTGACAAGATGTTATTTCAAGTTACAGTTCCCCCTTCCCTGTTTTTTCTCCATGGTGCATGTCTCATAAAATACATGTTTTCTTTATTTTGTTTATCAAGATTACCCGTTTAAGTGTAGGTTCCCTGAAGGCAGGGACTTTTGTCTGTTTTAACTTCTGTATCCCCAGTACTTAGAGAAGTACTTGGAACTTAGTAAATGCGTACTAAATGTTGCATGAATGTTCTGGCCATATCCTTTGTCCATTTTTGTACTGAAGTATTGGTATTTTTCCCAATTTCTAGGCATTCTCTAAATCAAAGTCCTTGCTTGTTCTAATTTTTTTCCCCAGTATATCGTTTGTCATGATTTGGTGTGTTTTTTTGCCATGCAAAAGGGTTTTTAAATTTTTACTTTTTATTATGGAAAATGTTTGCAGATTTTATTTTTCAATGTAGGTGAATTGATTAATCTTTTTTTTCTGTGGCTTCTAGAGTTTGATACATAGAAAGGGCTTCCCCACTCCAGGGTTATAAAGTCTTTCCACTTTTCTTCTGATGCTTTTTATAGTTCATGGTATTGCTATTTGTGGGCTTAGTATTTAGTAATGCTTATCTTCCCTTATAGCTTGGAAAACTCCGAAGAACAATTTCTGTTTCCTTATTTTCCCTTGTAAACTTGTATAATCATCTAGTTAAAACAAAAACACCCTAAATTTTTTGGATTGTTACTTTTGTAAATTGGGGAGAATTGACATTCTTACATGTGTTCAATCTTAGCACCAGTCTGCCTTTTTTTATTTGGAGTTTTTTTTGGTGACCTTCATGAAGTTTTCTTCATGTAGATGCTACACATTCTTAAATTTATATGAATAATATTTTGGTAGTGCTGCTATTGTGAATGGGAAGGGTATCTTTATTCTGGTATCTTCTAAGTTGATTATGACTTTAAAAAGCTATTTCTTTCTATCTATTAGTGCTTTAATGTATTTCCTTCCTAAACTATCTTTTTGTTTATACTTGTTTTTTGATTCTCTGGAATTTCCAGGGTTCATTCTTATAATATACAAATAGTGATAGTTTGTCATCTTAACAATTCTTAAGGTGATTTTTAGATATATATCTTTTACTTTAATATATATTTATATATAGACAGATCTACCAATTGTAAACTATGGTTTATTTTAAAGGAGAGGTATAAATGGGATGAAATAAATCTTTATACTATACTTAACATTCATGAAGCAGAACATTTTAAAATACTTTTCTTCTTAACAATTTTTATTCCTAGTTTTCTTTCTCTTGTTCAGTTGTGACAAGCAGCAGTGATGTTCAGAATCCTCATCCTGTCCTTAACATTAGTCATATTACTTGTGGTTTTAGGTTCCCTTCTGATTATTCAGTGAAGCATGGGTTTATCATTATCAGCCCATGAAATTTTATCTGCTTTTCCACACTCAAGAGATATTATAGCAGTGTTAAGTTGAAGGAATCATTATTTGAAAAGAGTTAATACACATGTAGCTGATATGTTTTGCCTGTACAGACAAGGGATGGATTGTTTAGTGCCATATGGTCATTCAGGTGTTACCACCCAGTACCGGGGTCATTAATCAGCCAAACCTATGGTGATGGAGAAGCTGTGTTTTCTACCTGGTTTTCCTGGGCTGATCTCATTCTTGTTTTCCATGAGTCCAAGAGGTAATGTGTGTACCTGAGTTCTTTTTAAGCTGGCTTTTGTCCTCAGGAACCTTGTACTTGTTTCTGTGAGATGTCTTCCAAAACATGGCTGACGGCAGATTGTTTTGCTAACTCCCTGGCGTTTAGTAACAAAATGAGTAAATGGTGGGGACCCACTTTTCCCTTTGCTGTTTTTATCTAGCCCAAGACTAGTCAGTCACTGCTTTAAATCTTTCCTCTTTTTTGCTTGTTTTGTTTTTGGAGGGGGAGGTAATTAGGTCTATATTTACTAAGTTATCTTCTGATTTCTTTTTAATGGAGGTACTGGGGATTGAACCCAGGACCTCATGCTTGCTTGGTACACACTACCACTGAACTGTACCCTCCCCCCAAAATCTTTCCTCTTCTGTCTCCCTCTTAACTCAAGAACGGAGTATTCAGCTTGAGACATGGAACCCACCCGAGCTGCTGGTGCTTTCTTACTCTCTTCCCTGTCAGTCTCCATTGGTCTCCACCCACCTTTGCAATTTCCAGTCTTTCCCTCACACACATGCCACAGGCTGTGTCTTATACCCAGCAGCATGGATTCCCTTCTCCACATCTAAAGTCATCTTGACCACCGTGGTCTGGCAAGTTGATGCCTGTTCTGCTGCAGTTTATGGAGCAAAATACATTACCAGGATAAAGAACCGAAACACCAGTGAAGCTGATTTTTGGTTTTGTTTTTTCCCCCCAGTTTTACTGAGATGCAATTTACATACGCCATTGTATATAAGATTAAGGAACAGCATAATGGACTGAAGTACATAGACTGTGAAATGATTACCACAGTAAGTTTAGTTAGCATCCATCATCTCATATACAATAATTTCAGTAGCTTTATTCTTCACCTCTATTTGGGTATTCTTTGTATTTTCCAACTCTCTGCTAAAAACTTTGCTCTGTCCATCTCTGCTCCTCCAGTTCTCTGAATGTCTTTGCCATCATTATTTTAAACTCCTTCTCAGATAAATTGCCTATCTCCTCATCACTTATTTCTTCTTGGGTTGTATCTTGTGCCTTGGCCTGAAAGATACTCCTTTGCTGCCTCCTATTGTCTGTCTATTTGTATTTTTAGGTAGGTTACATAATGTTTCTTGACCTTGAAGCAGTGGCCCTCTGTGGGAGATGTCCTATGCGTCCCAGCAGTGCACGCCTCTCTTGTCACCCAAAGGCCAGCGTCCAGCTGGTCCCAGAGTAGAGTCTGGCCTGTGTTTGTGGATTCCTTCCACAGGCTTTGGGATTGTTGTTTTCTTATTTCTAGTATTTGCCCCTGGTGGATGGGGCTGGACTAGAGGCTTATGCAGGTTTCCTGGCAGGAGGAGCTGGTGCCTGCCCACTGCTGGGTGAAGCTTAGTCTTGGACCTCTGGTGGGTAGGGCTAGGTCTAGAGGCATTTGTGGCTCAGGAAGTCTGCTGATGGGTGGGGCTGTGTTCCCACCCAGTATGTTGTTTGACCTGAGGCTTTCCAGCCCTTAAGCCTACAGGCTGTTGGATGGGGCTAGGTCTTGGTGATAATGATCCAATCCAGATGTCAGTATTCAGGAAAGCTCATGTAGATTAACACTCCTGGAATGTCTGCCATCAGCTTTTATGCCCCCTGGGTGAACCGCAGCAGTCCCCTATGTCCCCAAGAAACCTTCCAAAACGAGCAAGCAGACCTGCCCAGGTTTGTATGAAATCACTGTCTGTGCCCCTGGACCCAGCCCATGTGAGATCCCATGCATGCTTCCCAAGAGAATGAAGCCTTTGTCTCCCCCAGTCCCGTGGGGCTCCTGGAGTTAGCCCCACATGCCTTCAAAACCAGATGTCCTGGGGTCTCCTCCTCCTCCCAATGCCAGAACCTGGGGCTGGGGAGCCTGACTTGGGGCTCAGAACTCTCACTCCTGTGGGAGGGCCTCTGACCCAATTATTCTTCAGCTTGTGGGTCGCCCACCTGGGGGGTATAGGGCCCGATTATATCGCGAACACGCCCCTCCTACCTTCCCGCTGTGGTTCCCAACTTCTGTTTTCGGTTGAAGATGATCTTTTTTACTAGGTTCCAGTCTTTTTTCTTGATGGCTGTTCAGTAGTTGGTTGTCGTTTTTGTCACGAGAGGCGAGCTTGTGAACCTACTACTCTGCCATCTTCTCATATAGATATAATAAAAAGAAAAGAACTCTCAGAACTTTTTTGTATGTATCACACAGCATTGTCAACTGTCGTCGTCATGTTGAATATCACATCCCTAGTACTTACCTTGTAACTGGAAGTTTGACCACCACCTTCCAACCCTCACCCCTTTACCTACTGGTAACCACAAATCTCATCTCTTTCTATGAGTTTGGTTGCTATTTTGGGTTTGTTTGTTTTTTTAAGTGAGATGATATAGTCTGTCTCATTTCTCTGTCTTGTTTTCTTTGTTTTAATTTTTAAAGTAAACAGTGCAGTTTGTTGTTGGGCGTTAGACTATCAGTATGTTTAGAGAGACTGAATATTTGCTTTCAGTTTGGAAAACTTTTTGTTCCTTTAAGTATCTGACACACATTTCAGGAACGAAGAGGCTGGATGTTGTGGGACACGGGCTTGGGCTCTGCTGTGACTTGTTCTAGGTCTCTAGGATATGCCCTAATCCACGTGGAAAGGCAGAGTTGTGGGTGCACATCTTGAGTTCTGGGTAACACAGGTTTCACAGCTGGGGCCAGCGCTAAGGGAAGGACCAGGGTTGGGGAGCTGCGGCAAGAGAACAAAGCCAGTGCAGGGGCTGGTGGGGAGATGGTTATGCGATAGGTAGGTGACTGACTGACTGGTGAGAGAGCTGCTGCGAGTTGCTATTTAGTAACGGCTGTGTCATTAGACCCTAGACATGTTAGAGAAGTGAGAAGATAAGGGTGCTGCTTTCGTGGAGCCTAAGACTGGGCTATAGCACTTTGGTTCCTGAGGAGCATGGACAGCCACTTCCCTTGTCCAGGGGACAGTGTCAGCCATCAGGCCCTGCCAGACACCTGCCATGTTGAGTTCTGAGGGTCTGCTGCTACTGACCTTGTGTCTCTTCCTCTAGTACGCCCTGCACGTGTACAACGAAGTGATGAGTGTTGGGCAGAAATACGGAATCCGGAATGCTGGGTATTACGCTCTTCGTAGTCTCCGAATTGAGAAGTTTTTTGCTTTCTGGGGTCAGGATTTAAACACCCTCACCACACCCCTGGAATGTGGACGAGAGTCTCGGGTGAAGTTAGATAAGGTACGTACCTATGCTCACTCCACTCTGTCCCTCAGCTTTGCAAGCAGGGAGCCCGCGTGAGGACCGGGAGGGCTGGCGTCAAAGGAAGTGTCCAAGTGTTGAGAGCTCAGCGATGATCAGGGTGTCCTTACAGTAAGAAATGTGTCTGTGGGAGTAAAACACTTAATATGGACACATAATAGACAACACTTGTTTGGTGCACTTTGCTTGCTTTTAGACTGAGTGCTTTCTGGGCAGTTTTTCTGAGTTGATTATGGTGATTCATTAAACATGCCAGGAATATATGTACAAATGAGTCACCTTACATTCAACTGCCTAATTTTTTTGTTTCTCTTCAGAGTAACACATGAAAATGATTTTTTTTTTTTAAATATCAGTTTACCGGGAAGTTCAGTGAAAAGCCTGTTTTCCTACCTCTGAACCTACCCAACCCCACTGCCAGTCTGTCCTTGTACAGGCTCCCATGTAGGTAGGGCCAACAGATGGTGTGTCATTTCCCTCACCACTTCCTTAACCTAGATGGGCAAGTACTACACGCTTGGTATACTGCACCTTGCTGTCTTCATTTAACAGAGTATCTTAGCAATCATGTAACTTTTACATCAGAAAAAGTTAAAAAATGCTCAATTTGGGAAACAGGAGAAAATACAAAGAAGAAAATTAATTACTGTTTACTTTATCGTGCTCTTTTTTGTACACGGGCATAAATACATGCATTGAATACAGATATATATGTGAGGACTTTCTGCTCAGATTATATAAAAACATTGTTTCTAGAACAATTTTGGCAAATATTTGAGTATTGACTTTTCTTCCTAAATATTTTCTGTGTGGTCTTGTGATTGAAATGTGTTTATAAAATAGAAGAGAGAATGACATGTACCTGTATTGAGAAAAGTTCTCTGAAGGTGCCCTCCATGTAGTGAATGCAGTTTTCTGCATGGCAGGAACCACTTTCCCAGAGCTTGCAGGGGTATGTGTGGGGGTGTAGTCCCTTGCAGTGACACCGCGTGTAGATGCCATCTCAGCACCACCTCTCTCTCCTAGGGGATGGATTTCATTGGGCGAGACGCCCTGCTGCAACAGAAGCAGAACGGGGTGTATAAACGTCTCACTATGTTCATCCTGGATGACCACGACACAGACCTGGACCTCTGGCCTTGGTGGGGGGAGCCCATTTACCGGAATGGGCAGTACGTGGGCAAGACCACAAGCAGCGCCTACGGCTACACTCTGGAGCGCCATGTGTGCCTGGGCTTTGTGCACAATTTTTCCGAGGACACCGGGGAAGAGCAGGTGGTGACGGCAGATTTCATCAACCGGGGAGAATATGAGATTGACATCGCTGGACATCGGTTCCAGGCCAAAGCTAAACTGTACCCCGTCCCATCCCTCTTCACCCATAAACGCCGGAAGGATGACGTGGAGCTAAGTGACTTGCAGGGGAAGTAATGCAAGGCAGTTTCGTCACCTCCCCATCATCTTAGGCACTTTTCTCCCCCCGATTCCCTCCCTCTTCTTGATTTAACCTTTGCCTCCTTCCTCTTATCTTGATATAATTTTAAGCTTTTAAACTTTTCCTTTGCAACCTCTCCTGTCCTCGCATCTTCTCCTCCTCCCTTTTCCAGTTTTCCCCCGACACTTACTCTGGGGCTGGTTGTCCAGTCCCTCCACCCCAGAGGTTCCTGTGATGACAGGGAGCATGTTTGACAGCAGGACAGGAGCAGACTCCACTCGTGGCTGTGGGTTATGGTGAGTGTGACTTCAGATGCTGTGTCCTGAAGCCAGAAAGGCTGATAGTATGCAGGCCTCAGGGTAAGTCTATCTCCGTGGGGCTAAGCTTTTCCAGAGTGAGCAGTTAATTTGGGGGGAGGGGGGTTTACTGTGTCTGACACAGCCCTGTGGCTCTTTGTCTCATCCCATCGTGCTTGGGTTGGCACCCTGATACCTCCAGCAAGAGGAGGACCATCTACCTCACTGATTAGAGGCATCACGGGGGTGTTTTCTGGGGTTAACCCTCCCAGGCCTCCCTCCCGACCCAGTTATCAAGACTGTTGGGCCAGGGCCACCTACCTATAATTTTCTTCATCTCTGGCTAATCTCTATACTGAGGGGTGTTTTGATTTGGTTAGCTGAGTAAACAAGTAAGACAGTGTTTGAAAGGGAAAGACCATGTTGCCTTTTTCATTACTTTTCATAGCTGAAAGGGTCTGACCTCAAAGTACAGCACTGGGGATGCTAAGTTTCCTATTAAAACAGTGCTGCTTTTCTGTCAGCTACTCAAACGTTCAGTCATCCCATCTTGATCCTTTTCAGTCATCCCATCTTGATCCTTTTTTCCAAGTGCACGTGACGATCAATTCAGCCTCCCGTCCCTTCCACAGGAGGCCCACTGGCTCAGTACATTCTCTTTCCCTTTAGAACAGGGAGGGGGAGGTAGGACAAGCATCCTGGTTGAATAACTAAGCCTTGTGCCCATGCTGAGTTGAAGAGAACTACCGGGACCCCAAGTTTTGCTGCCCCTGACAGATAGATGCACACGAGATGACCCACGCAGGTCCATGGAGTTCCGAGTGCGGACAGTATACATTACCTAAGCCCGAAGTCTGCATTCCATCTTTTCTTTCCAGCCACCTCTTTGGAATAGAAAGTGACTTGGGGTACCAAGAAGCCCTGCAAACTTTAAAGCAGTGTCTGTTTTCTGAGAGTGAAACTTGGATCTCACAGATGGGTATCCATCCCCATACTTAATTTCCCCTTGCAAACTGCTGCTAGAGATTTTAACTAATGTATCTTGGATGCATTACTTCTAATAAGTCAGTAAGTACATTACAGAAGATCCTTTTGTTAGAGCAGCTTAAAATTCTCAGGTGTCTGCCTGCTCTGGCACTTCTCTGGGATTCCTGTTTACCTACTTGATCACTGAGTTTAGTGTCCACCTTCTTAGTAAGTCTTAACTGATTTAACAAAGTAGTGTGTGATTAGAAAGCTGTTGGGGGACTTCACTATTTCGGTGCAAATGTGTGTATAACTAGCTGAAAGATGCTGCTTCTGGGCAAAGAGGAGAGAGGAGAGGTGCTGCCCAGCTGGAGAGCAGAGCAGTGCATGGCAGGCAGGAAACGGGCACCCAGCCAATGCAGGTGTTACCAGCAGGGCGCTGACTGACCCAAGAAGGTGGAGAAATAAAAGTATCATACCCTGCACCACTCCAAAGTCATCTTTGGAAATGAAAATTTGGGATTAAATCCAAAAGAAATTGTAAGTTATATGCATAAATTATATCTTGTCTATAAATAGGGGTCACACTCCTAAGACTATGGCAAGATGTTAATCTTCTGGGGTACCAGTTGTTTATTGAGTGCCCTGAAATATATTTACCTTCTAGTACTTTACCTTGGTCCTAAATTATAGGGGCTAGTTCTTTCCTGCCTCAAGCACAGCTGAGAATCAAAACATCCTCATTTCTGTGTCATTTCCAGCTCCTGGACAGTGGGACTGCACGTGTTTGCCTTCTGTGGCAACTCCCCTCTCCTCAGAGATGCGAGGGATTGTTCAAAGGGTGGCTGGATTTTGATTTTAGGTGGTTGATACTTTCTTCTCTCTGAAATGATCTGTCATCAATGCTTGTGCTGTCTTGTCTTCTATCATTTTGAACCTATAAACACAAAGGGCCTCAAACAGATGGAAGACCCAAGGTTACAAGTCTCCTGTGGGCCTTCTCCTCCCTTGAAATAAGCCCCTGGTTACTCAGGTCTATGTAAATCCCATGGTCATGTGATTGACACTGAAGATTTCCCATCTGTGATGAAAGCGCTAATTCAGAAAGTTTTCAAAGTAAAAAGGGACAACACCTACCTGCTTGGATAGCCCATTTGATGTCCTTTAATTTGTGTTTCTGTCACATAGCACTGCACAGGCAGGACCTGCTCCAGGAGACAGAAGTGAGCAATTCCCGCACTAATCCTAGTGCTCCTCTCAGGAGTCCCTCTACCCCTAAATGCGAGAGATGCCATTTAGCCCCATGATTAAACCCAGTCTCATTTTGGCCCCAAAGTTCCCATTCTTGCAGGAGTAGAGCCCAGTCACTTCCATTTGATTCTCATCAGGAGGTGTGGCTGGATTCTACCTCCTCATACAGACCAAGAGTTTTACCTGTGTCCCTTCTTTACAGGGCTGTTAGTTCCAAGAAAGTAACTAAAACATGTGGAAAATAACTTAAGTTTTCTCCTTTACCCTGCCTATGGATGCACTTGAGATGCTAACCCCTCCCTACTGCCACACTGGCAGGATCGAACCACTAAAAAGTGGTTTTGCTTCACTGAAAAGATGACTCACCACCTTGCTTTCTGGCTCTTTATCCTCTGGCTTTTGGACACATTTGCTGGCATTTCAGTGAGTCTTCATAACATCCCTTGAGAAGCTGGGACATATAAAGAAGGAATCTTCTATGACCTATAGTCCTGATTCTGACCCAAACCTGTGTCCTGGGAGAACAGTTACATTGGTTTGTTTTCAGGCGTTAGTCACAAGGTTCCTTTTCATACCTCGTCGTTGCTTCTGGGCCAGAGTAGCCAGCAAGGATGTCTTTAGTATCTAAGATAGAGGTCTCGTCTACAGTGCTTTAATACTGAAGAATAAACTACCGTTTCGATTTTCTTTCTGCACATCCCATCCCAACACTGCCACATTACTCACAAACTTATAAGCAGCACTGTCAACATGATGTAAAGTTTCTCTCAAGTAACGAGTTTTCATCTTGCACAGGTCATTTACAGGCACACGGACTCAGGAGAAGCACAGCTGAGTGGAAGAAACAGTAGATGAAATAGGGATTAACCACATCCTGCACTGAGTCTTCAGTGAGCTAGGGATCCATGTCCCCACCACTCTGCCCTCCACGTAAAGGTGCTGAGTTGTAAGGCTCCTTCACTGTCATTACGGGGCTGGCACCTGCTGTCCCTTGACACTACAAATACACTATTTTTCAAGAAGACTCAGTATTTTTGTATGTTTTTGTCTTCTATTTGTCCATTAAACACCAGAGTTGTTCCTTGTATAAGATTCTCGACTTCTAAGCAGAACCCTTGGAGAATTAGACATTTCTTCATGGGCCATTATTCTCATGATACTTAGATACACCTATTTTTATCCTTTGCAAAACTTTCTTCTTGCCTTCTCATTTTTCTGTCTGACAAGGACAGAAATTACAAGAAGTGGGGAAGATACTTTTAGCATCCTTTTCAATAGATCTATGCCAGAATTTCCTTTGCACACCAAGAACTGGAGCTTGGAGCACCTCTTTTCTCCAAGCCAGATTCTAGTGCCTTACACTCCAGGACGCCACATGGTGGGTGGAGATGGGAAGGATGAGAGCAAAAGTCCCTTCAACAGCTGGGTGCGGGGGAGAAAGCTCTGCAGCTTGTTTCAGTAAAGGCTTTTCTAGCAGCACAGTTAGTAACACTTCACTCTCTGGTCAACTCTTGGGATGTGTGAAAACACTTGTGATTAGTGTAAAGTGCTACAACCCATTTTTGCATTTGTAAATGTGCAGTTTAACTCAGCCTTGTTCCATCCCTGTATAGTGTCAGCATGTGGTCTTGAGGACACTCGATACACTTTGGTAAAAATGAGATCTTTCCGATGTGCCCTGGTGACAATAGGCACAGAAGGTGACTGAGTGTCTCTGCCCTCTGTGAATATGGTATTAACATTGTGCAGTGTTTCTATCAAGCCAAGTGTCAATTCAGATTTTCTTCTCATATTACTAAGTTTGTAAATGAATAAACAGACATTTTAACTACTCCTGCCATATCTATTTGTGAAATGTTCTACATCTGTAGTAACCAGGTTCATGTATTTACCACCACTGAGACAAAACACTATACATAAAACCATTTGTACCTCTTACCAGAGTGTAAAAGAGAATTTGGAAAAAGGAGGAAAGATATAGCACTTAAAACTGTTACTCTCCAGTCAGGGGGGACGTGGCTGTGAGAAGAAATCCCCTGTTCCTCCTTCTGAAGTTACTATCGCTGGACTTGACATCCTGTCTTACAACTTACAAGAAGCTAGCACTGGACTTAGCGCCCACGTCTGTGTGGAAAGTGAACCATGTGCGCACAACTGCTCACAGTGGTAAAAAAATATAAACAGTCAGTGACTTTTTAGTAACCCGAGTTTCCATCCAGAAATTTAGTCACTGGACTTGACTACCTATTTTCTGAACAACTACATCTGGGAATCCATAGAAAATGGGTCTAAGAATCTCATCAACTTACCTTCTAAACTTAACTTTTTATTTCGTTTCATGAATAACCAACTTTGTTACGACTGAAA